TTTGCAGTGGTCCTCCTAGGTACTGGAGCATGGAGCGCACGCATTTGGCTGTATTATGCAGGTTTTTCAATATGCTAAGTTTCTTTGCTGGAAGCCCTTTAGTCCATCACTAAGACTCGATTTGAAGGATAAAGCAGCAGCTAAGAGAAACATGTACTGATTTCTCAGCAGAATACCTGTTAAAAAGACTCATACCTTCAGCTAACAGAAGCTTAGCTACTGTTACCTTAAATATAGACAAAAGTGGCTGTTCATTAGCTAGCTAAACAGAAGCATGTAACTCAAGAATGCACACAACTAAGAAAATTCTACCAGCATATGAAACGCATGTTGTATGTATGCTCTGTTGTCCTTGTCCCAGTCATGGCACAGCTAGCACACAGTTCTGTACAAAAGATTTTAAATGTGAAATATATACGTACATGCATATATAATTTTATATATCTACACACCAAAACTTTGATTTTTCTCTTCTTTATTTTAGGTTATTCAGAAATACATTTTTTTGAACATGAAATAAAGAGATGAATGACTGGGCTTATTACCTGTTGGGTGATACCCTGAAACAACTGTTACACATTCATAGATCTCTTTCTGGAGATATCTAATTCCATTTTGAGAGATTTGATATGAAACGTTTGCCATGTCTTTAGAAACCATAGTTAACAGCCCACAAACACAGATGCTGGGACTTCTTTTTGCTAAGCTTGTAGCTTAAATTTTGACTCTCCTTCTAGAGTCAAAGTGGTTTTTTAGACAATATATGATATAGATGAAGCTGCAAAAACAATGGTTTCTTTTCTATTGAAAATAATGTACTAGTGATCCTTGCCCTTTAAGAGGAAGACGTTTGACTTTTAATTTGAAAACTTCTAAACAAATATATGCCCCTCCTTCCCATTACTGCCATATCTGGGAACCAGAATATGAGTGTTTCCTGTGTGAGTGCTGAAGACAGGACTAAACTCTCTTGCCCTTGAACAAGATGTCTCTGAGCTCCAGCCCAACTCTTTAAAACCCACAAACCACAACTAAGAGCAAACTTCCTATAAATAGTTATCTAGCCAAGGAATTACTCCAATTTTCCAAATCCCATTGTTATATCTGAAGAAGGAATGAGAAAAGTGGTCCTGTTCCTAACACCTTTCTATAGATTTTCCATCCGCAGAAACTACACCTTCTCAAGTTTCACATGGACACCGCTTCTTGTGTGACGTTCTTTGTATGCTGAATGCCAGCAGACTTACTGGTTTGCAGCCCTGTAGCATGGGTAGCAGAGCACAACGCAAAGAAAGGAATAGTCTCTCTCCAAATGCAATCAGGCACTAGCTTCTAAGCCCCAGGACAATCTAAAAGTGACTCAGTAGCTACATTTTAGTTACAGAGAAATTACTTCTCATTTCTTGGTTTTCTAAAGCTCCATCCGAACTCTTTCCATCTAACTTCTTGGATAAGACATGCTTTAAATATTTTCTTCCTTTTGGGCTTTCATTTGTTTGTTTGTTTTTTGCATATGCATCATAAATGATGATGTGGCATTAAAGGTTGTATGAGCATTTCTTTGACTTGATCTGCATGAAGCACTTCTATCTTCACTTAGTGTAACATCCTAGCTTTGACAGACTGCTGCTAAATTCTTTACACACTATCCTACTTGTTTTATACTTACGCAGAGCAACTTACTAGCTGTAACTGATATTTAGAAAAATTAAAGCTTTCATTCTTGTCAGGGAGTATATGGAAAAGCTGTGCTTAATCAGAAAGTGCATTTTCCTATTGCTTTCCAGAGAAATTCACTTAGCATAATTGAGCATGCAAGTCCTAGACACAAAACCATAATTTTAACTTACATAAGGATGGGTTTACAGACTTACTTACATTAAGTTAAAAAATAAAGGTGCTTAAAGTATTATTACATTCCAAACAAACAACGAAAGTGCTCGATACTACGCGTCAGAAAGTCTGGTGTACTTTTGCGACAGCATACTTTCTGAAAAGACTGAAATAGCATGTATTCATATGTGATATTACATTATTACAAATATGCCACACAATTCCTACCATTTATCCTCTCGAGTATATTCTTTCAGGTGATTTTTCCCCCCCACTTTTTAGGTTTACTTCTTCGTTTACTTTTCTTGTTTCTAACGCATACTGAACCATTTAAGAATTGTTACATGTGTATAATTATGAAGTTAATTTTTCCCATAATGTACACGTTTATTGAGCTGATAAAAATATAAACATGAGTAATACGTAATCAGGAACAGCATTTGATTTTTTTTAAATTCCTAAAAAATATGTTTCTACATTTTTAACAAAGCACACACTAGAACAATTAATTTTCACTGTAAGAACCTCCTTCACACAAAGTTACAGAAACACAGATGCTGAACCAACACAAAGAGAAGTACGTTTTTTGTATAATGAAATAAACACAGATAAGAAGTCAGGGTTAACCTCTGCGTCAATTCCATTTAAAAGGAATATAATCACGTCAGAATCTGAACTGTGCAATTTGTTGCTAAGTTCAGGATTCAGCTTTGATTTCAGGCCCCAGCCGCGTCCGCCGTTCTGCAGCAACCTCTGGCGGCCATTTCAGTGAAACGTGGCGCTTCAGGAACTGCCTGGCCTTCCACACCTCTGGGACCAGATCAGGTGGGTCAAGCAAGGCACCCAACACAAGGTAAGGGAATACCCAAACTCCTGGCCACTGCTTACCCTGGCCATTACCAAAATCCTAAAACACGGACGTAACAAGCTTTAAATGAGTATGCAATCAAAAAAGCTGTAGCTGTCACATATTCAGACATCAAAGACAGTATCTGCAGCTAATTCCACATACAATCATACTAAAATCTGTATTGTGCATATTATCAGTAACGTACTTTATAAATATGATAACTACACTTGTTTTAGGGTGGCACAAGTATATTCTGAAATTGTTATTCATTGTTACCTCATCAGTTTTGGATAGGAGAACTGAAGTCAAGCCAAATTAACTTCCTATCAAACTGTTAGTTTTTCAAATCACATTTTATATGTACATTCTCTAAAGCAAAGTTATTGCCTTCTTTCTTAAAGTAAGAATGAAAATTGACATGTCAACCAAACAACTTGGTGACAAGAGAGCTAATCAGCTTTTCACAGTTAAAATAATCAACTACAAATTTAATATTTATAATACAAAATTTTTCTATCCAAATTTTAAATGGTAAAAGCACAATATATTTTCAATGCACCGTAAAAAAACAATTACCAAAAGCAGAAAAGCACTATAACAACAGGAACTACCCATCACTTCTCGCTACCAAATGTTCCCCCAGCATTCCAAAGCGCAACTTAAATCCTCGCAGACAGAAGCATGGAGAAATACGAAATTTCAAAGCAGTGACAGCCTCGCTGCTCTGGGACCCAGGGATCAACCAGCAGAATTTTGATTGCCAGACTGAAAGTATCACTGAATGAAAGGTTGTTCTGAGGGGTAAGGGAGATGTAGTGGACATTAATTCACAAAATTCATAAAAATAGAGAGTTAAGCTACTGCATATTACACACCCTCAGCTCCGCCACTGATCAGCATAAAGGTTTATTAGGGGTCACTGTATCAAGGATTGGAGGTCTGACATTGTGAGTTGTTGAACTAAAGTTTAAATGGCAACTGTAATGTAAAGAAGAAGAGTAAAAGCTGTATTTTGTTTAGGACTTAACATCTGCTTTCTATGATGTTAAGAGTTTGGTCAGGTGTGTGCAGAAACTGCTACCTAACAGAAGTTTTCTTTTGCTGTTTAAAAATCTTTTTATTTTTGTAATCATTAGTTTCACTTTTTTCTAACGCTTACTTAGCGGTTGAGACTGAACAAAAAGGAGAAAAGAGGGAGACATAAGAGACAAAAACCAGCTGCATATGGACCCTTCTCTGTTGTAGTATAAAATAACAGAAAATTACAGCTCCTGATGGAGAAGATTTTATTTGCACCTGGGCTCTATCAACCAGTGAGACTTACACACAAAGCACATAAACTTTCAGTTATAATGGTTCAAAATAATCCCAAATCCAAGACGTTTTTCTTACATTCTATATATATAGAAAATTTTGTTGTGCTTTCTTATTTTTCTCTGTGTCTTCATATACACGCACAGATGTATGCAAGTATCTCCCTCATTGGGCATATTTGGGAGCTGCTCTTTTTTACCAAACTCTGTGATGATAGATCTTAAACATTATCAACAGAATTCTTTGTTAAGACAGTCACAGCCTAAATCAATTTGGTTTCTATTAAAAATATGGAGGTGAAACTAAATGAAAGCTAAAAATATAATGCCATAAAGCAAATAAACATTCTACATCAGTCCACCCTCTCCTTTGTTGGGAGAAAAAAATGAGACAATTTTAACTACTGATGACTCAATATTGTGGCTATAATATAATACTTTATTTTAGCTGTTGCTTGTTGAGTAAGTGAGGCCAAGTATTCACTTTCTGGATACATAGCTAGAATTTAACAATTTTTCTCCTTCCTTTGCATAAAATGTAATAATTTCCAATGAACCACTTCTATTTTTGCTTCACTGTACTTTTTAAAAAGTTTGCAGTTGATGTATTGATTCATATATTATCGGTTGATGCACCGATTAAATCACATATGCATATATGTTTATTAACTGCAAGGAAGTGAAGATTACCCAGGCATAAAGTACCAAGCTTTTAGAGGAGCACATGAATAGCCCATTTGGAGCAT